AAAGAGGAATGAAAATTCAAAAAGAAAAACGAGTGCTGGTGTTAAGACTTTTCTCAGAGAGTAGCAGAAAAACGAGTTGCACTAAAAGTCAGCTAAGAACTGAAGTCTCTTGTCATTGGGGAAGTGAAGGTGGAAGGACAAAGGAGTTTTTCATTCTGTAAGGAAGCTCAAGGAAGCTCTTGTACAAAAGTATTTAGCCATTAACATTGTTTAAACATTAACAATATTTAAAATAATATATGTGATGCTTTAATATAGTATTTTCATCTCTGAATTTAGGATGAAGGAATGAAAGCAGAAATACTGAGATTACGTAAGAAACTGTCTGAGCAGGAGAAGAAGTTACACAGCACAGTGAAACGCTTGCACTCCACAAACCAGCTGAAGGAAAACATGGAGAAAGTCATCATCGACCAGTGTAAGTTCATGCTTTCTTATGGTTCTTATTTTTGTAATTTATGGCTTCCGCTAAAATGAGGGAAACAACAAAATGAACATAGGTGCCCTTTCTTTTGCACTCTCTGCAAGTGGCATTTCTCTGTGTGCTCTCAGGTGGTAGGAACAACCTCTGCATGAAGTTCAGAGCGTGCAGAACTGCTGGAGCCTCATGTACAGATAGGAAGATTTTGTGCAACTGCAAAAGGCTGCATAGAATGCCATGAAAAGCAGTTCACAGTTTCACACACCAACTGATAACGTGTCAATCCGTGCAGCTGCCACTCATCAGTTGAGTTGTTCCATTTCAGTTACTGCCATTGCACATTAGTTTCCTGTCCTACAGCAGTTCCTGACTGAGGCAAAGTTACTGTTGCTGTAGACCACTCCAGCCAAACTTTTGATGCTGTCCTTCTCAAAACTGTGATTTTGCCTCAGTCTTGATAAATATGCAAGTATGCTCTTAGTTAGCATTAGATGGCTGAATACTGGGAAAAGCCAAAGCAGCAGCAGCAAAGATCTGTCAACACTGTGCACCAGAGTGAGAAGAGTGAGAGAACAGAAGGCTTAGAACAAGGGAAACAGAAGTTTACTCTAAGTCTTCTAAGGAAAAATTAGGACATGCTGTGAAATGGTATTTTACCCTTAACAGCCATATCTAGAAAATAATCTGGAAACATAATGATTAGGACAGGGACTATATTCTAGCTGTGCTAGACCAGCTGAGTGTTCTGAGATCCATTTCTTCTGCTTTAGAATTTAATCTGTTAATCAGAAGAGATTTGATCGGAGCTACACCTCTCTTCATGCTATGGCAATATGTGTACTGCAGGAGGAGGATTTCACTTCAGTCTTAAAAAAAAATATATCTATCTATCTTTACCTTCTCTTAAGAGACAGGACTTAAAAGACTTGTTAGTGTGTGCTGGAATGGCATGTGTGTTATCAGTAATTAATCTAGAATGCAAAATGTTACATATCATACAGAGTTAGGAAAATGGCTGTAATACTATGCTAGTCAAGTCATTAAATGCAATGCAGAAGAATTAAAGTTATTTTGCTCCATAGCCTATAATTTTTATATCTAGGTTACATGAATCTTCTGCCTGCAGATTGTTTTTTTTAGTATTTATGGGCAGGGCTTTGGTTGCTTATTTCAGAATTGTTATATCAAATGATGTGCAAGCTACTTACAGTAAATCCAAAATTAGGTTTTCTGTAGGTTTTAAAGTTAAGTAACTTGGTTTGGTATTGTCATATAAAAATCAGAGGTATCTATTATGCCCGTCCCAATAATATCTCAGGGATACATTTACTGATTCAGTTTGGTCAGTTCCTAGCTCTGGTGACATCTCAGCCAGACACAAAGGGTAATTTCAGGAGGGCTGTGCAGAGTGTAACCCAGCAGAGATTTTAGCCTTAGGACCAAAATCTTACCCCCACAGCCACTACCCATCCACACTTTCAAAAAGAAAACAGTCCATCTCCCTCTTATTTTGTTCGCTCCTTTTCAACACATCCAAACTCTTCTGAATTAGGTCCCAATAAAATGAAACCTGAATTTTCTGAAATCTTCTTAATGCGAAGTACTGCCTGGCTAGCAGCAGCTTCACTATTAGTGTCACACACTCTAAATTCTCTTCATGTACTGAATTTAATATTTTTGATTTAGAAAAATCTAGTTTGCCGGGTGAAATGAATTTAGCAGTAGAGTTCTTTATGAGCAGAGAGCACTCTGCTACACAGAAAGACCTAGATACAATTTTCTCTAAGTTTCATTGATTACGGGAATTAAGGATGTCAAGTTACCTTTGCCTTAAAGAGCAATTCCAGAAATGTTTCTAAATTGCATCTGTATACAAATTCCTGACCAAGCATACAACAAAACTGGTGAATCATAGGAAGCTGCTGGATTCTATTATGATGCTTTTACTTGTTTTTATTTCAGCCTTTCTCCTTTTGCTAGCAAGCAACCACAGGCATCCCAGTAGGTGACCTTGCCTTCCTTCATTCTCCAAGCATCCTGTTAGCTGGGCACACCACTGAGGATTTTCAGGTTCCCACTGTTATTTAGTTGAGCATTCCTAAATATATTTAGAGGCAGAGACTGGAACGTTCTTGTGGATCAGAGTCTTCTGTCTGCTTTCTCTGGGCAAGAGAACGGAATGCTTATAAACCTCATCTGAACCTCTGAACATGTAACAATGCAGTGCCAAATTGCAGTAATCCGCCAAGGGTATAATTATCTCATGACAGCTATACCCTTGGAGTTGTTGGGTTCTTATTATTGTAATGAAAAATCTTTATTATGGCTAAATTGTTTATTTTTGAGACTGGAATATTAAATTGGTACTTGTGAATGGTATTTTTCAGCAGTTAGGAAGCTGACACAGATTAGAGAATCACATATTTAACCTGACATTTCTAAATATCAGTTTTGTTTAGAAGCATCCCCTCCACCATTCACAGGTCTTGCTCTCTCCCTGCAGAGGCAAACTAGCTGAATGAAGAGAGACAAACTTGGACCCCTTCAGAAGAAGCCACTGACAAGATTTTCCCTAAGCACATATAGGTTGCTTTGTCCTTGAACTGCCGGAGGAGCAGGCTAACTTCTTATGCCATCTGTTGTCTTCCCAGCCCATCATCCCATGTAACCTCTCTGCTGCACCATTTTCCTCCATCTCCCCCAACCTCCATTAGATCACGCACCAACTCCCCTTACAATTAACAAAAAGTGTTCCTTTGCCTTGGATTGAGGGAATTGGGTCAGCTGGCTCAGGGGTCTGTTTGTAGCGGCGATGTTAAATGTAGTGGTGAGCTATTTGTGTTTTCACATATATCGTTCTTGTTACAGCAGAAATACTTTAAAAACACTTCCCTGGAGTTTAGATTTGAAAAACACATTATGTGGTAGCTGCAAAGCAGGGGCAGGAAGTGGCATTCTGGTGCTGGCGCTGCTTCTGACCTGCCTGTGGTGCTGAGCAAGGCCTTTTGCTCTTCCCTGACTGAGTTTGCTTGTACAGCATCGCCCCTTTATCTCGGGTTTTGCAGCTGGAGGTTTGTACAGCAGCCTGAACTTCTAAACAGAGCTTGGGATGGAGTAACAGATCTGCATTTTTTAAGTAACAAAGTTGAAGTGGTGTGGAGGGCCTGTCTATAATTGCCTGGTTGCTGCTCATGTTGTAGATGTGAATTTATACTTACTTAATATTTGGTCATAAAAGCCCCGGATATGGAGAATATAGGAAAGCTCGTGCAGTATGTAATCATCTTTTTGTTTCCAGTGGTTTTAACTCACGATGTCTTGAAGAAGGCCAGAGGAAACCTGGAAGTAAGTAAAATTTCTGCTTGAATTTAATTCCTTGGTACATTAGAAATAGACATTGCAATGTCAGTAGTATTTGTAGAATTAGTCCAATTTGCTTTGGATTTGCAACTGGAACAATGTTAAGATCAAGTCTGGGTGGCAACAGTTCAGTGTGATAAATATTCTGCAGTATTTGATGTTTAATTTAGAGTTTTATGACTGGCGAAGCAACCAGCTAAATCCCCTCTTTTCTGATACTTCCCCTAAACTAATATCCATATGTCCTTCATCCAATAGTTTATTTCCATCAGATCAAAGTCCAGTAAGCTGGCTACTGTCTAAGTTCACAAAAAGCATCCATATTTAAAGCTTGCGTATGTGTTAATAACCAGTGCTTCTGCTTTTTTAAACACAGACCCAATAGGCAACGCTTCTACAAACAGCTATTTGCTAATGCAGTGCATTAAATTACTTTGAGTGTTTAAGTATCCACAGTTCAGCTTTGATTTCTCCCAGAAGGTTCAGGCTTTACTCCCAGAAGGCTGTAATATACTTCCTGACTCCTAAATCCCCTCCTTCTCCTCACACCATTCCTCTCTGAATGGCTGTACATTTCCCAGCCTGCCTTTAAATTTTCCTCCTTTTCTATGAATCTCTCCTCCATTACCCTCGTCAGCAGTGCCTTCCTGAGCACTTCCTTCTGCTCTGTAGCTGTTCTGCTAAGTGGCTCTGCTACTGTCTCAGTCCTACCTGAGTTAGAGATTGGTGACATAAAAAAGTCTTTATGCTTACAGGGGCTTTATCACTTTAATTTGAAGATCTGCTGAACACAGGCGCTCATATTTGCAGATCCTTCTGCAGGATTATAGCCCAGGGATAAATTGTGTGCATTTGAAGTACTGTAAAATAGTAATAATTAATGCTTTTCTAACCAGGTCCCATCACCTGACAATCAAAAATCAGCTTCCTATACCAGCAAAAAAAGGATTCTCTGAAGGAGGAAGTTCCTATAATAAAGACAGACCATCCTGGGATTGTTGTTTGCTTCTTTATGCCTTACTATTTATTGATGTAAAAAGTTTCATTCAGCTCCTTTAACGGAATCAGCCTTTGGAGAAAAGAAAGAAAAAATGACTAAAAAAAAAAAAGTATTTTGGTAAAAAATAACTTATTTAACATTTTCTGTAATGTAAAAGATGATGGTTTTTAATATTTATTACAGAAACAAGGTACTGGAGGTATTGAAGAAAAATCCAGATTTTTTTTTAAGTTGACTTGTTTGAAATTTTATGTTTGTATGTTATGCAGCTGTTTGTTGTTGTAGTCAAACAGGTCCTGAAAGAATCAAGAGCACAACCCACCTTCCAACCTGTTTCTCCACTGCTGAAATTACAGAATGTAGGTTAAAGAAAAATAGTTCTGCCAGCTGCCAGCATTTTATAATAATATGTAAAACGTTCAATATTTTAAATCATTTTAATCTTACCTGGAAGATTCTTCTGGAAGTTGTTTGATTCTGAGCTTTCTCACTGCCCTGTTAAAACCTTAGACTGATGCTAGGTCTGAAAATACTACTCAAAATCAGACCATTAAATTTTAAAATACCAAGCTGTTTGTGTTGTTTTGTTTGAAACGCCAGAACTCTGAGCACTTATTGAACAAAGCCATCAAGGGATTGAAATCTTCATAATGGCTGGCATGGATCACTTCGTTCCTGCCCATGACTGAGATTAATCCAGCCCTTACCAGGTGCAGTTATTGGGTGCTGCAGAAGTGCTTGTCAGGGCTGAGTTCAGAGGGTGGAAACTTGCTTTCAAGGAGTCACAATCAAAAGGCAGTTTGCTGGTGGCAGAAACACTGCCTTCCTCTCTTTGGTCCCCAAGTCTGTACCAAGAGAACAGAAGGTCACAGCAGGGACAAAGCCAAACAGTTTTGAAATCAATTTTTCTGCTAAAAGTGCTGAAAAATGTTACTTAAATTTAAATTAATCTTTTACTTTTTTTTCCTATCCCATGTTGATATATCAAATAGCGATGCTTTGGCCAGGCCAGAAAACACCGGAATAGAACATGCTTACTTGTGCTGCTCCTGTGCTCCCCTCGTCCTGCCCGGTGCCTTTCCAATTCCACTCTCGATCTGAGCCCACCATGTGCAGCCTGCTCTCAGGGGCACACCAGGACCAGGGGAAAATCGGTTAGTTTAACCCTACCAAGCACATAACTGGAGGTGGTTGTTGGCTACAAAAGTAGACTTTATGTGCAATCATGGCCCTGTTGAACTAAGTGAATTTCGCAAAGAGTGATTGATATTTTTTCAAGTTGATGATGTCCCCATTATAGAAGATGACTCGCCCTCGTCATCCAGGAAGGTGAGCGCCAGGTCTGGGAAACCTCAGCACAGGGCTGTGGTTATAGTGGGTCCTTGATATCACACTCTGGAGAACAGCCAAGCTGCAATAGTCTTTCACTGAAAATGAATTTGTGCTCGTTGAAACATGGATGTGGAAGTGGCTATTAGAGCTACGGGGCTGGCTGAGGGCTGTGAACCACTACTGAGTCTGGTACTGCAGCAGTAGCTGCCCTCTTCCCACTAAAGCTTTTGTTTGCTCCTGGTTTCCCAACACTTGTTGACAATCAGATGTTGTGCTCTGAATAACACATAGACACCCTTTTATCACTTTGCTCTGAATTTCAACTTGATCCTAAAAGCCTGGAGCTGCTGCACCCTCCCTTTGGGCAGATCTGCAAGCAAAAGTGCTGAGTGATCACCAGCCCACCAGCCATCAGAGGGGCTGCAGGTAATCTGCTCCTCAGAACTGATGGGATGGCAGAGCCTGTCCTCCCACACAGCCGTTTCTCCCCACACCTACTCTGCACACGAGTTTTTATTAAAGAAAACCACCAACACTGTGCACTTCCAGGCTACACGCATCTGTGCTCCCTGGTATGACCTGCCTTTGTGAAGTACACAAAAATGGGCTTCTCTCTGAAGTATGAAAAATGATTTAATCTGGGGTCCCAGTGCCTTCCTGCAGGTCTCATGCTCTAATAAATGTTACGTGCCTTGGAGATCCCAGCCTCAGCTGGCCCCTACCTGTGCTGGCCCGAAGCTCCGTCCCAGGTTCTGGCTGCTGAGCACTTGCACCCTCCAGTCCATCACGAGAAAGGCTCAAAACCAAAACGCTGTCTTCAGCTGACAGCAGGGGGAAGCAAACTCATTTGTCTGTATTAGAGGAAAGATGCTGGAAAAAATTGAAAAAGTTAAAAATAAACTTTGCAAATTGAAAAGGGGGGGTGGTAAGGGAAGAGCATGCAGTCAAACTTGCTCTTCAGTCTCTTCACACATTATTGTCCTCACAGCTCACTAAAAACGTCAAGTTAATTTTACTAAGTAGCTAAATTATAGACACTCAGATGTAATCAGAATCTGCTATACATTTCAACTTTCAAAATTAATCAACCTACGTTTTTGAGTTATAACACCTGAAGGAAACAGCTGTACATCTATATATAGTGCACCCATGTCTCTTGGTCTTCTTGCAGCCTTTCTCCCCCCCCCAACACCATCTGTACTTAAAAAATAAAAATTAAATGTTTCCTTTTCCTGAGATGATTTGCCACTTACTTCTTAATGGTCCCTGCTGTGCCCACTCAGAGCTCTTTTCCTGACCCCTTCTCCCTCCCTGCCAGCTCTGATTGCTGCCTCCAGCTTGCAATGCAGCACACGTCCCCGCCTGTGCAGGGCAGGTGGGGGATAGATTCATATTGAAATTGGGTTAGTTGGGGAAAAAATTGTGGTATATCATCATGTCTTTAAAAAGAGATGATCCTATGAGATCAAAGTATTTCATCTTAATGAGAAGTGCCTCTTAAACACACACAATTTACTGGGCCAGTTTAAAAATAATTAAAGGAAAAAAGCTAACCAGATGGAGGGCTGCAGAAGACAAAGCTTATGGAGTGTTAAACTTTGTTCCCATTAAACAAAATTAAATTTTCCTTTTAAAATAATTATGCGGGAGAAAAATAAGCAGCGTAAGCAAATGGAATTAAAGGAGGGGCTCATTTGCTTAGCGAGCTCCTGCCTGTAGTTTCACTGTATGTGCAAGGTGATTCGGAACATCGGTGAGAGCGGTTCAGGAGCAAGCATTTGGGAGCCCTGCGGGTCTGCCGTCCTCACCGGTGTCCTCGAGCCTTGCTGCTCTCTTCCCAACGCTGCAGGCAGGAAACAAGCATCCGTGGTGCTCCTTGCAGAGGTTGATGAAGGCCTGTTGAGATCAAAAAGAAAAGAAAATGCTTTTGCCTTCTCCCTCGCCCCTACGATGTGCAGCCACACGCGAGCAATGAATAAAGGAGCTGCTCGGTGGCACTGGGGACAGAGCAGCGTGTCGCAGATGCCCACTGCTCCCTGCCACCGATACGTGGCACTGCCTGAGGCGTTGGGGCTGGGGGCTGCTGGAGAACCACACTGCAATTGCATTTGCCAAAGAGAACGAAGAAAAGTAACAGTCAACTCGCAGGTGGTTGGTTGTATTAAAAATAAATCAATGCTAATGCAGTCGAGCGTTTAAAAACAAAAGCACCGTAAAGCTGTGAGCTATTTTAATCCAGGCAAACGTGGCTGGTCCGCTTCTGGGAGGGAGCTGGCAAGGTGTTGGGGTGGACACGACCAGGGCCATGGCACGGAGGTCCTGGGGGGCTGGGGCAGAGCCGAGCACCTTGCCTGGAAAAGGACCCGTGCCGTCCTTGTACCCTGCGCACATCTTAAATGCTCTGGATCAAGGCAGAAAGTGCCTCCTGGCCTCGCTTTCAAATCCAACAGAAACAGCAATATGGAAAGGGGAAAAAAAAGAGGAAAAAAAAAAAAGCATTTTTTAATGGCATTTTGTTGCCACCCGAAGCCAAAAGGCCTCAGGCTGATAGCCAACACGAACCCTTACCTAGCAGTGGTGGTGCTCTGCAGGATGATACATGCTGGTCTCGTTCTTGTGTCTGTAATGTGAGAAAAGCTGCATGAATAGGCACAGGTACCCAAACACACAGCACCCTGGCCTCATCCCCACCTCTGCCATCCCCACACACCCCAAGCTCCCTGTCCAAGCCCTCCCCCAGGACAGCCACCAGGAGGCAAGAGCCTGCCGTGCTGCTGCTCCCCAAAGACATCCCAAACCTAGACCTGGGGTCATTAGCATGAACAACATCAACAAGATGAGATTTAGAGCCAGGACTTATTGACCTTATTTCCTTATATTGACCGTATTTACTCAAATGGAGTAACAAGACAAAAAAAAAAAAAAAAAAAGACAAAAAAAAAAAAAAGAAAAAAAAGAAATCCAGTCTTAATATGTGCCCTCCAGAGAGCATAATGAACCAGAAGCCACCGGTGTTACGGTTGAGGTGACATTATCAGTGTGTTTGTGCTTTCTGAAGTGTCTGTGCTGGCAGCATCACCTGCCCTCTGCTTGCTGTAATGCTCCAGGCACACGCAGCAGGCCCTGCTCACTGGGCTTTGGATTTGAGAGAAGTACTCACGGGTGCCCTGTCCTTGGCACGCAGGAGAAGGAAGTCAGGTTGCTTACTTTGTGCCTTTTTGCAGAGGAAAGTTTCCCCAGTACTTGCACCAAACAGCGGGGTCGGAGGCTTCCAGCCGCATCCTCCGGCTTCCCCAGGCTGCAGAGCAGCGGCTGCTGCTGATGCCAGGGAGACAAACAAGGCCTCGGGCTGCTTTAGTGGCCTGCTCCCACCTTCCTTGCCCCCTCCTCACCCTCCTCCCACACACAACACCTGCATTTTGCATGGCTCGCTCCTGTCTCCAGAGAAGCAGCACAAAACCAACAGAGTTGCAATGCATCACCGCAAACCAGCAAATCGAAAGCGATAAATAAACCAACAAATAACCTCTTCTCCTGGCTAGCTACGTGGGAAGCCTCTCCTCTAATCCCAACAACACAAAATCAGGTCCTGAGGCACCGCAGCTCAGGGCTCGCTCTGGCCACCCCGAGGCTGCAGGACCAGCTGCTCAGCGCCACATCTGGTTTTGAACGGTCCCCTCTCGAGGAAATCTCTGCAGGCCTATTTTTTGTGTGTTTATCTTGTCGTTTCTTTAGGAAGATACTTGCTACAATATTTTTTTTCCTCCCCTCCTTCCCCCCTAGCCCCATCAGAGGAATCTACTTGGGTAATTTGTTAAAGCGGGTTGCTGGGGCATGCATTATGCATGAGATGCAATCTTTATTTTTGCACTCCACTGTGTGCATTCAAAAACAGGATTGGAACCGCGTGCCCGCACGCAAAATGAACATTAGCAGCTCAAAAAAAAAAAAAGGAAAGAAAATGCCCATTTATTTAAAGGAAGGAGGGAAAAAAAAACACTCAGAGCAACTAAACAGCAAAAGCAGTCCCATTTATACTCTGCTGAACAAACCAGCTCGGAGGTGCTGTGCTCAGCACGACGCACACAGCGCTGGTGGCGAGGCGAAGTTGTTCACCACACAGCGTCACCAAACAGCCACGGAGCTCGCAGCACCTCCTAGGAGGAGGCACGAGCCCCCTGTCCCTCTCGGTATCTGTGCTTGCATAAATATATAGATATATATACGCACACATGTGCATGTATGCGTGTTTTTGAGCCCATTCTCTCTTGCTTCAGGAGAGAAATCACGCCTCTCTTATCCATTCTTTGCATGCCCTGTGCTGCAGCTGCTTTCAGAGCATCTCATGTTGCTGAACCCAGATGGTCACCATCACCAAGTCTTTGAGCCTTTTTGCCTGATCCACCCTTCTTAATCCACCTTTCCCCTCCGCCACACCTTTGCCTTCTGCTGCCTCAAGGCTGGGTGTCCCCTCGTCCCCCTGTCTGGGGGCACTGGGTGCAAACAACTTGCCATGCAGTGGGAGCTGGTGACACCGAAAGGTCACCGGACCGAGGATGCGAGCTGCTGAGCACAGTGTCAAAAGCCCGTGGGTTAAATTCACGAACCAGAACCACACAAAAAAAGGCGCAGAAAATTCATAGGCCAACAAAAGAGCCCTCTCCCTGCCAGATTTCATGCTTGGAGGTCCCCTGATACTATTTTTAGAGCAGTGAAATGCATTCCTCGTCTTAAAGCCCTTTTAAAACGCCACGGCAGTGCTGACATCCTCCTGCCAGCCTCCACTGCCCTGCAGCCCCCCGTTGCACAGCACCTCCCCTGCACAGGGCCACAGCGGTGGGCAGGGGCTGGCTCCAGCCCCCCCAGGAGCCCCCTCCTGCTCCACCATCTGCAGCAGCCTGAGACAGCTCCAGGGGAGAAAATGAAGGACAAGCAAGCCCGTCAGTGCCCAGGTGAGCACAAGGAATGGAAAAGCATCAGAAAGTGGCCACCAAGGAGGAATAAGGGGGAGAAACATGTTAGAGGATGAATAAGAGAGAAATGGGCCACGTGGAGAGGGAAAAGGAACAGTGGATAAAAGAGGGACCAAGATATAAGGCCAATTATTTTTGATTCTTTGGCTTAAGGGCTAATTTATTATGGCAGTAAATCACACTTAAGACAGGTAATGCAGCGGCCAGAGCCCAGACGTTATTTAGACAGAGCAATCATGGTATTAATGCTCAGAAAAGTGGAAAATTTAATGGCCTGCAGGCCACCTCTCGCTCTTTATGGCTTCCCCTCCGCCTGGCACGCTGCTGCCACCCCGGAGAGGGAAGGGGGCCCAAAGCTGTGATCATACTGGGGTCAGACTGGAAGGGGCAGGAGAAATGGGGACGAAACAGCCAAAATCTGGGTGGATATCCACTTTCTTAGAAGATGTAAATGCTGCCCTGCGTCTGTCCCATGGGCATTGGGGGTATGAGCGCTTCAGCCGTGATCTCTGGGGTGGACACCGGCTGCACAACGAGGAGGGGCTGAGCCTTTCATCCCACCACCACATCTCATATAGGGAAAAGCAGCAGGCAGGGGCCCTGTGCTCAGCTCTGAGCCCTGCTGGCCCTCGAGGCAGCAAGACATGTTGGCAGCCTTGAAAAATGATGTCAAAGATGTGAAAAAACAACCTGCTTCGCCTCAAGTCATCAGAGCAAATTATGCATTCTCCAGCAGTCGCGTAATGAGAAGTTAAATAACTCCGTCGTGGGCCGGTCCTGCTGTGAACAGGAGAGGCGAGTTCTCCGCTTCCCCTGAGCACGATTTGAGCCCCTTTGCTCGTGATTCCCCTCCAGCATCACTTCTGCTGTGAAATCCACCTCCTGATCCCAAAGCACTGCTTGGCGAAAAGACACAACAGCCTGCTCTGACAGCCCGATATTAAACTTGCAGGTCCCACTGCCCTTCCCGTATCCTCCTGCCCTCAAAGCACAAACAAAATGGGAGAAAAAGGCCGCACCATCACACCCACCCGTACCAACACTGCCCATGGATACACACCGGGGCTCTGCAGTCTCCATCAGTGCTCCTTTTGCCTAATGTCCCTGGCAGGATATTTTTGTGTGGTTGGGAATAAATTGAAGCAATGTGTTTACTCATATCCCATAAAAGCACAATAAACTTATCTCCAGACACTGCATTAAAGAAAAGCTTTGATTTTTAAAAGTTACTTTGTTCTGAAACTCCTCCAGGCAGAAAAGATAATAAAAAATAGCAAGCCACTGGTGGTTAAGGGGGAAAAAAAGAGAATCATGTGGTTATAATTTCACTCAACAGCCTATCCCTAACAGAGAGCCACACAAAGTACAGATGTGGGATAATACATTAAAATATCTTGGAGAAAGCTGTTAATTTATAACAGTGGTAAATAAGGGTTGATGGGGACAGCAGAGGCATTTTAGAGTGCGGTGCGTGTTACCGAGTCCACCAGATGTCACATTGGCACTTAAAAGCCTTAGGTGGTTTGAAATGCAGTACAGATTGTCTCGCATTTGATCTTCTAAACCTGTCTCCATCCATCATCGTCAACAACTGTCAAGATAAGAAGGGACAAGTTTTGATTGGAGCCTGATTATTTTTTGTTGGTGCAGAGGCAGAGATGTATATGGTCCTGAGAGCTGACATTTCTACCTCTTCTACTGGAAAAATGTGACTTTAAGCAGAAACAGGGCTAGCTTCCACTCCAAAACCAATTTGTTTGATGGAATTCACCCTGCAGAACAGGAAGGAGATTTGCATTTATGTCCGCTTGAATGCAGGCTTGCATGCACACGCTCCTTGATTGTTTTTAGTTACACCTGATGCTAATGCAGAGAGAAAGATCGATATGCAGCCAGTTGGCCTGGTAACCTCCACAAACGGCGCAGAATTTACACCAAGCCTCGGCACGGGGAAACTCGGAAGCATCATGAAAGTTTCATGCAGCCGGAGCAGCCCTGTAACAACCCGCTCTCTGCAGCCCCTCAAGGTCTCTGGCATTGCTGATTTCCCTCTGGGCTCACAGCTCGGGAGCAGTTTTGCAGCTCTGGCCTGCGTCTCTCGGCAGTGCCCTGCCTGCTGATGTGGCCTCCAGACACCTCCACGCTGTCCTATGTGGAGAAATCACCCCTGGAGCTCTCTCGCCCAAGTACATGGGACGTATCGACCCATATAACCCACCCCACCGCTCCTCTACCAGAGGCCGCAGCCTCCAGGCCTCCTTCCCCACCAGGGCATCAGCCACCTGCGTGACAGTGACAGGATCTGGCCCCATAAACCCCACAACCTGGTGCCAATTAAAGGTTTTATTAGCATGAGGTCACGCTGTGATTGCACCGAGTCCCAGCACCACTTACACCACACTTTTAACCAGCCTACATACGCCACGTCACCCTTCTGTAAAATACTTCATAAAGTGTTTAAATTTTTCCGTCACCTTTCTCCCCTTGGCTGTAAAAGCAGGCTGGGTCTAACAACCGAAGGCTCTAACAGGGCTGCTGGGAGAAGGAAAATACTGTCACTATTTCACTTTGGCCATGGCCTTAAAATCATCTTTAGCTGCAAAAGCATGAAATGGAGTAAAATTAAGCACTGGGATCACCTGTATAAAAATATTCATTCTGAAATGATCCTGTAGCTCCTCATAAGCCCAACAGTGAATTCTGGAATTATGGCTGGTGTTTGGATAACCCTTCAATTTCACCAGATTCATGGGGGATGTTCCAGGTGAACCTGGGGTTTAAGTCTACTTTCATGGAAGACCCCAAAGGACCAGCTCAAATGTGTGTGTCTAGAAACAGGGGGACCCATCCCCAGTAGGAAGGGGAACTATCTGCAAAACACCAGGGAAGCAGACCAAAAAAAAAAAAAATAATACAGCCCAATGCTGAGACACACACAACCCAGTTGACCCTTTCCCACAGTTCATCAGATGAGCACCTAAGTTTTTGAGAATCTAGGAACGAAGAACCCCAAACACAGCCTGTGGTCCGTCACTACAATCTGTCTTCTTCCTGGGGGTTAATAAAGCAATTACCTTTAAGACAAACCACGCTCACTTAGCAAAAACCTTAGCCAAGATGCTTCTGCAATGTCACAGGGAAAGACGAGCATGCCATCGCTCCGGGTCTCTCTGAAAGTGGAAACATCAGGAGGCAGGCAATGGGACACAGTCCTCCCCAAGAAACTTCAGGGACCTGCACGGGCACGGCTCAGCCCATGGTTGAGGTTCTGCTGAGGAAAATAGATGGACAGACAGACACAGTGTGCAGCCACCAGCTGGCACCGGGCACCACCTGTATGTCCAGCATGGGTGCCCTGCCTCGGGCTTACCCCTTTTGCACCCTCCCTGCTCTGTCATACCCAAAGCTGAGCTGTCCCTTTCCCAAATCACCAGTTTTAAAACATTTCCTCTTCCTAACCTTGGACTACAGCTCCTAGCATGCTGCTGTAACCAGCTCTTCTCCCCCCTGCTTTGGGAACTGACACACTTGAGAGAGCGGAGAAATTAAACTTTGCATTGCCTCCTGCACCAACAGACTCAGGTTCTTATTCACACAGACTTAAAAAAAGAGAAAAACAAAAAAAAACAACAATAAACAAAACACAAAGAAGTCATCAGGATCTCTCTTTGCTCAGAACACTGTATTGCATTAACTCTGGCATAAGGCACAACGCGAACCAAGAGAAAAAGAAACTCACACCGCTGGAAGACAGAGGCAGAGTAAATTAGCATAGCCAGTGTGCGAAGCGAGCAGAGGATCTTGGCTCACACGAAATGATCCTGAGAGGAGGAACAGTCAATCCCTCCTCTGAGCCGCAAATAAAAGCACGTGGCTGAGGGGCTGCGTGAATTTGGTAGCAGAGATAAGAAGGAGCCAAACCGCAGCAAGCATCTCTGCCTGGCGATTGATGAGCTGCTCTACTTGGGGCTGGGGTACGTGCGCTGCGCTTGGAAAATGCAAGTGGTTGAGAGCACCCTGACAGCAAACCCCCATGAATGGGCATCAAAAGGAAAGCTGGGAAATGAGGAGATTGTGATAATCCCAGTACACAATGGCAAAATGTTGGTTTCTGCCCCACAGAGGGGAGATCAAGTAGGGGAACTGAGCAGGACCCGTCCAGAGCCACTGTGACGGCGGCTCCAACAAGCTGGGACGGGGGAAGCTGAACCATGGAGGGAATTTCAGCATCTGCTGGGTGCCAAAACCCCCAGGTGTATGAACAAGCATGACCAAGTGGTAAACCAGGGCAACTGGTAAGGACCTGGCTGTGCCACACTCACAGCCCTGCCTTTCCTGATGGTACCAGCAAGGAGGAGGACAGTGCTCACCCCAGCACAGGGCTGAGAGGTGCTCGGCACCGCAGGGGCATTGCTGAGGCCTCTGGACACAGCCAACAGCTGCCTGCTGGGCAGTGGGTGGGGGTTGAAGCCAGGACCCCAGGCAGGTCTCGGTCCCCCCACACCAGACCAGTGACTGGTGGGCACCAACTAACATCTGCCATGTGAAATACTTCCTATTTTCCTCAGTGGGATCCCCCAGGTTGAGAACACCACCCCAGCAGCACTGACTCTGATGAAGGATCACCTCCCTGCGCCCTGGGGCGAGCTGCTAGATCTGATGGAAGTATTGCAAACAGCTAGGAAATGGCCCTTCCCATGTGGATATTCTGGGATCTGATGGATGGCTGGGTTTGTGGGGCTGTGCTCTCCCTCCAGTTGGGGCATGAGTATCGTCTCTCTGCAGTGTGCCCCTTTTCACGAGCACTGATGGGATATAAAAATATGCAATGTTTGCAGGTACACAGTAAGTGAAGGATGGAGGCTGGGAGAGGGAGGTGTGAGGTGGCAAGATTCTCCTTGCCTCTGTGCAGGATCCTACTGTTGAATAACACTGGCACTACGGCTAGGTGCCAGTTTGCAGAAATGCACTGGAATTCATTTGTGTGTATTAATGAAAGCATCATATCTGGGACATTTCTGTCAAATTGGGTTGAAATCCAGAAAAGCAATTAAGACACACACATATATGTGGAGACTGATCACAGCAACCTGTTTCTTACAGCCAGATGTCTTTAGAAGATGTCTAAAAAAAATAATACCCAAGGTGTATTGCAGAGCACAGCTTCCCTGTCAAGGACTTCTCTTCACATGCAGCACTCGGGGCTTGTAGCGCTGCGATGAAATTCTGCACAAGGGGGAAATTTCAGCAGAAGGAAGAATGAAAGGCTGCAAATCCCTGAAAGACACTTGCAGCCCCAGCAGTCCTCATGGGAGCCCTGTCAGAGGACAGCCAGGAAGCAGGACTGGCACACGAGGCAAATGGCACGGTTGCCAGTGGTCCACGTAGGCAGAGGTGATTAAGTGACACGAGGCACGGATCTCTCCAGCTGGAGGTATTTTAAACACATACAAAATAATGTCAGAATCATAGGACTGCAATCTTTAAATTATATTCAAAAAAGATGCTCAAAGCATATATCATTGAATTATGAACAGCTTTGGCAGCTTTATTGATGATGTTGAATCTGGTTGACAGATGCATTTACACTGCATAAGCATTTGAGATGCTAGAGTAATTGCTTATTAGTCTTGTTGTGAGGCAAAACACCAGATTGAAATAAATAGGAGCTCATGAACACAGAATTTTGCTGCCTCTTTGATTATTTTTTCAAGCTAACCATCTGCTAAGCATCTGGGATTCTTAGAATCCAAGATCCATACCACACACAGGTGGGAATTAAAAAATACAAATAGAAGGAGCTTAAGAACCCAAACAAACTATAACATAAAATTGTCCAAAGTGACTCAGGACTTTCTTCCCTGACTTGCATACCGATGTAGGAAGCCCAGGTTTTATAGGACAGGGTCTGCCCTACATGGGGAAGGGAGACACAGCCAAACAGCTCCATCAGCTTCATCGCACCAGTGCTTTGCAACACATGCCAGGGGCAAAAAGGATGAGCCAGGTACCCCAGGGTGGGGCATGGAAGGGCTGCAGGGAAGCAGCAGAGCAGGCACTTGGCAGCTGTGGTCTCCGCAGGGGATATATTTAAAAAAAAAAATCCTGAGTCACCAGGAAAACTTCCAGGACTCTCTAGGGCTGCTTTTGCACGAATTTTGGCAGGCGCTGTGATATTTCAGGTTACATCTCTGTCTCTTGCTAATATGTTTTTAAACCTTTACCAAATTTCATTTGTGTTTGGCAGGAGGAAAAAAAAAAAAAATCAAAATGCCCATAGAGAGAGCTGCGTGTGCCTACACACCACCCACGATGCAGACCCAGCCCGTGGTACCAGCTGCCCTCCTGCCATCTCCAAATGTTACAGGCACACCCAACCTTGACCTTGCCAGGGATGGCCACCCAGCAGAGGATGAGATGGGCCAGGGGGCCAAGCACTTGCCCTTCACAGCCTTTTGTGCCTGGACTGAAGACCCCAGGGAAGAAGCACTTGGCACATTAGGAGCCCCAGTCTCAGCTGAGTTGGGGTAAGCACTACAATAAGAAAAAAAAAAATACCACTCAGGAGTCTAAAACTCATACAGGACAAATTCAGGAGTCAGGGTAAATCCTGCCATGCAGTTTATTGCAGCCTATGGGATAGCAGCTTTGATAAGAACGTAAAACTGATATTTGAATTTCCCCCAGCTGCCAGTGCACTTGATGCTGAGAACATGAGTTAATAAAAACAGCCAGTTAACAGAACTGTCAAACTCTGGCAAATACCCATAAAGCAAATGTTCTTTTTAAAAAAGCAAATTAGACATGCATTTTTCTCCATGAAATAGTGCAATTAGAGAAGCTTTATAACTAATATTTGTTTTTGGTTCTAAAATATTAAGGATCTTTCCTAAACATAGCGCAGTGAAGGGTTTCAATTAATCCCCTTTGAACACACACGTTCAGGTGTTTAAAAGGAAAAAGAAGAAAGAATGATTTGTGCATCATGATCTGTCATCTCCAAAAAGCTGTAAACAGTATCTTAGAGAGCAGAGTTTGTGTGACAAATTTGAGATTAGGCGGATTCCGATCTAAAAATTAAATTGCTTATCAGAGAAATAATATTAGAGTAAAATAAATTAGAATCTCTACTGAAGACTCTAAAAGTAATTTTTAAAATTAATTAGAATCAAAAAGATGGATCTCAAAGGATAGGACAACTCTAATTTAGACAGACGGTAATTAATTCCTTATTTCAGAAATTCATTAACAGGCTGTAAGAGCAATTCATTCCTTTGCTGGAGTTCGACTCCAGAGAGAGATTCATCTGGAAGTGGGAAACGTGAGCTCCCCTGCGGGCAGCAGGGCAGTGGCCTCCTGATATGGGGCACATTTGGGGCAGCAGCTCACTAAGGTGGGGCCTGATGATAATTTTTTTTATTTTTATTTTTTTCCTCCCAGTAGGTGACACATGCCCAGATGCCCCAGGTGCTCAGGGTTTGTACCCCCAGCTGTCCACGCTCCCAGTTGGGTGGGGACTGCAAGCACAAAGGCTCAGCTGAACCCTGGCAAATTGGGAAAATAAATTAAGTACAGAATTCAATCTTCGGCTTCAGGAAAGCGTTTCCTTGCGTGATGGGGCCTTTCTGAAGGAGGGAGCAGAAGCAGGACCCAGGCACCGTCCTCACCTCCAGCCAGCACAAGAAAGCCTGCAGAGATTTCCCATTTCCCTTCCCCATGTGCATCTCATTAAAATGATTTGAGAAGAGTGCCAACACTGCTCTTGTTCCTGGAGAACAGCAATACAGGATGCTCACCTGCTGTGCCCTCAGCTGGGGTGGCAGATGTCCCCCTTGCACCAGCCTTCTGACAGGTGAGCACAGATCCCACTGCAGGATCAGGCCCTGGCATTGGGACCAAGAGCCTAGAGATCTGGAGGGGATTTAGGGTTGTGGTGTAAATGCCTGAAGTAACTAGGAAAATAAAACTAACATTCACACTTTTAAGGAAAAGGTACAGCATTGAAGAGGCTTTCAGGGTAGGGCATAACTGCATTATCTGAGCATTCCCTAGGCTCCCAACCTTAGATGCTATCGCGCTGGGGAAACTTGGTGTGCTAGCCCTAAGGAACACCACGGAGCGTAGAGTGGAGTGGAGACACCACGGCTAGGCTCTGTAATCAGGTGGGGCCTCGATTGTTCTTGTGCACAAAGCAGCACTTTTTGCCACCCTAAGCCAAAGACCTGTCATGTTTTGACAAATGCTGTACCCTAGTGTACTTTTTGCTCTTTATAATATCATTATAATACCAAAACACACCTCCATCCCAAAAGCTACCCGCCTCCAAGGTGCGACCACCCCTCACTGAGCATGCGCCCTGAATTTCTCGGAGCCTATTACTTTAAACAGAGATGGGAAAACTTTACACCAATCATAACTAAGATATGCTTGACTAGAGCCACTCAAGCTCCACCTAAAAGATAGAAAATAATATAAATTGGCCCGAGAGAGGGGATGTTAGGGAAGATACCATCGTCAGGGGAGATACCATCCCGAGGACATACAACATCCTTAGGACCTCCTGACTCCTGGGATCAGTCGACGGGCTGAGCCTCTCTTCCCCCCCCATTGGGACGCCTTTGGGTGAGATCTGAATATTTGTTTATAAATCTCTATAGAGTCTTTGATCCTTTTAACGCGTTTATTTCTAGGCTGCGCACCTGTAACACCTAGAACCCACACCTAGAACCCACACCTAGAACCCACACCTAGAACCCACACCTAGAACCCACACCTAGAACCCACACCTAGAACCCACACCTAGAACCCACACCTAGAACCCACACCTAGAACCCACACCTAGAACCCACACCTAGAACCCACACCTAGAACCCACACCTAGAACCCACACCTAGAACCCACACCTAGAACCCACACCTAGAACCCACACCTAGAACCCACACCTAGAACCCACACCTAGAACCCACACCTAGAACCCACACCTAGAACCCACACCTAGAACCCACACCTAGAACCCACACCTAGAACCCACACCTAGAACCCACACCTAGAACCCACACCTAGAACCCACACCTAGAACCCACACCTAGAACCCACACCTAGAACCCACACCTAGAACCCACACCTAGAACCCACACCTAGAACCCACACCTAGAACCCCTGTGTATTTCATGCATACTAGCTTGCTTTTGCAGATAGTCACTATCACCGGCAATCCAAAAGAACCTGATTATCTGTTGCTGTAATAAACCATACTTGATTGCATTGTGATAGCTCTCATTAATGCAACTAGGGTGAGGGTGGTTATCCGTGATAGTTCAGTGTTCTGAATCTAACCAGACCCCCAGACGGTTAATGCATTGTTGGTGAATGTCTGAGCGGACCCCCAGGTGGTTATTACGTTTTTGGTGAATGTCTGAGCGGACCCCCAGGTGGTTATTACGTTTTTGGTGAATGTCCGAACGGACCCCCAGTTTTGGTGAATGTCCGACTGGTTCAGTACTCTGAATCCAAACGGGCCCGTGACGGTTAATCAGCTACACCCCTTTAACGCGACAAGGGTCAAACTCTAGCACGCAGCAACACAGAATGAAGCTTAGAGTGGACAAGCTTGCAGCATCTCTGCTCCTCCCTAAAACCAACAGGCACATCTAAAAATAAACAACCCCCCGCAATTCACAGAGCAATATCCAGGAAGAAAACAGCTTGGGCACCTCAATAGACTTAGTGCAGGAGTTTCGGCCACTGATAAATAAATGTGCTGTCAGCCTGGTCTGCTGCCAGCCCCAGGAGCAGCTCCACGACTGCCACTGCACTCCGTGATCCTTCAGAGAGGCCAAAGCACAGCGCTGGTCCCTGCCAGAAGCCGTGCTCCGCTCCTTGTCATCTGGATCCCTTTGATAACCAGTTAGGCTTGGAGCTTATCCTCCGAGCTGGAAGCTGTGTTGAGGGGAGGATAAGCAAGGCAGGAATCTGTTCCCTGTACCCAACTGGAGAGAAGCCCAAAGCTCAACCCTTATCTGAGAAGACCTGCACTCCGGAGCTGGATGTGAGTCTCACGTCCACAGCGGGGTGAGCAGGAGAGCCCCGAGCAGGGATTTAACCCCCAGCCCCAACCCCTCAGGGAAGGGCGGCCACAGGCTGCACTGCAGCTTTCAGAGAGGAGGATGTAGAATCACAGCAGGTTGGAAAAGACCTCTGAAATCACCAAGCCCAACATCTCACGTGGCTGTGGGACTTCAGCATCTGGGACCAAAGAGGAGCTATGCAGCATGACCTCTCTAGTAAAGCATGCTCAGTACAGGATCCCACAGTTTGTTCACACCTCTCTGCCACACACTTAAGGATGATTTTCCTCCAACCCCTATGTCTCTTTTAAGCCCAGTGGGGAAACAGGTTGTGGCAGGACAGCCAGCACCAGAGAAGTTCAAGACATTGCATTCAACACAGCATGGGTGATGATATAGACGTCACCCCTCCGCCAGTCCAGCTGCTGCAGAAAGCCATTTATATCTAAAACACCATGCCAGCAGTAGAACCAAACATATTTTAAGCAACACTTGCACTGCAGATTTAATATTAGCTACATTTGGCTATTACCTTGCCCACCCAGCCCTGCAGACACCCCAGCACCTGATGCAGTGAGCACTGTTAATGTGCATGGTGGCACTCTTCTTCTCCTCCTCCTGCCACCTGCTTCGCTCCATTTTCTTCCAGCCAAGCACTTGAACATGGTGCTGCGGGCAGCTGCCTTTACAGTTCAGTGAATCAAGTGCTCTGCACCCTGCTGCACTGTCTCTCTCGTTTACTCTGTGACAAATGCCTGGAAATTGTTTAGTTTTATGTCACCGTAAGCCAAGGATATTAAATTTACATCAAGCCAACAAGAGCATAGCTAAGGAAATGAGATGTTACCTCCAGACTGAGGAAGGGGCAGACATCTCTCTGAATACATGGGGTGAGTCTGGATTTCTGCTTTTCCTCATCACTATCTCCCAGACTGAGGGCAAACAGCTCGATTTTGCCTTTGAGAAGAGACCTCGTGGTCTGGACAGAGCCAGAGGGATGATGCTGGAGATGTCTCCATTTCAAATCTCTCTCAAACCCTGTGTGCCCCAAGTTCAGAGGTGCTGTTCCCCAGCCAGCACTGCATCACATTCACTGTCACCAAAGGCATAATTGTCAAAAAACTAAAACCATCAAAACCCACAAAACTGGCATCTCATTTGCTTTCTGTCAGCTGTGACTGTCTGAGGGTCTCCAGGAGGTCTCCCATCCATAGCCAGTAGGAAAACCCAGACCTGTCCAAGCACAGAGAGCTGCAGACAGCCACACATTCTCCACCACATACAGACAGAGCTGGTGCTGCATCTCAGGAGCCCCTCTACTCCTTCTGCAAGTCATCAGGTAGCTGTTAAATTGTCTCCCCACCATCAGGAGGCCTCTGGATCTGTCTCGATACCAAAAAACACTTTCATTTCAGTATAAGCTTCTTATCTCACCGAAGAGCATGCTCAATGTCTCTTATCCTGTTACCAAATACGAAGAACTCCTATTCTTCCACCTAATTTTTTTTGTGTTTACAGCTTTGTTACCAAGCTATCTCCCTCCCACTCACCTTCCCCTGATTGTTGATAAACATGGAAATCCATTCCCCTCCTAGCATGGGGAGCAGGGGATCTTTTATCCTCCTCCTGATAAACAGCAATAAGCTTCTTATCCTCTTACCAATAACCGAGAGCATTGCAAATCCTGTATCAGACACACTAGGGTTAGGGTTTGTTTGCATTACGTGAAGAGATTTCGTAAAGCGGCAAATAAAAGGCATATCATTTTGTTCTTTTATCTGAAACTTCCTTCTAGGAGGGAAGGCAGAGTTGTTTAGAAGTAGATTTAATTGGGTATTATTCAGTATCAGGTTGAGGCAAGTTCTCCAGTCTCCCACAAAGAACTTCTGCACTAATTTGTTCTTATTCGTGGATGAAAGGTCATTGTGCTGACTAGGAAGTTAAGTAAACAAAATTAGCATCTGATTTAAGAGACTTCTTATTCCCTCTGGTGTAAATTAGTGTAAAAATTAGCAAGACACTCAGTTGCTGCTGTTTTCTGCATTTGAAATGCATCAGTTCCTTGGATTTAATGGTGTGAAAGCTTATTATTTCTTTATTTATGCAATTGCATACATATGGGTGGTGAGCTGGAAGGGACCAAGTGTGTCAGCTTCAGAAGCAAAAGTCATTCAAGGTTAATAAGAGCAGGACTGAAGAGCTCACAGCAGTACTGACACCTGGATGCTGAAAGAGCAACAATTCTGTGCTCATAGAGGGGAAAAATATTTTAAAAATGCAACACGGACTGTAGCCATGAAACTCAGTGCCACACAATAACCCAGGGGCAAAGCAAATCCACCTTTATTGTAAAGGAGAACAGGCTGCCTTGTTCAAAAGGTTAGGCTACTTTTATTATAAAATTGAAATAAAGAAATGTTCTTAGATGTTCATATCACATTCAAGTCATTTCAAGTTCTTTCAAGAGATTAAAAAAGCAACTATTACCTTGGATTAAGGTAGAAGATTCCAGAAACATAATCCTGATAAGTTGCTAATTAAAAGCTTCAGACTTCTAAATCACCTATTAATGATTATTGCTGCCAATTCTAATAAGCTACCTGGCAACATTTCACTTCAATGTCACTGCAGCTTTCCATGAATGCAGTATAAAGTTACATTCTTCATGAAAGAAAACAACAGGGACAAAGGGACGAAAAATGAGGCCACATTAGTAGGTGCAAGTAACTTCAGATAAGGAAGGTGATAGAGGTGTTTTTTTTGTAATACATGTAAATGCTGGGAAGAACATCCTTCTGAAGAGGATCTGGTTAGCAGGGAATGAGCATCTGAGCCTGGGTCTCTCCCAGCACAGGTTTTCTTCTTTGTTGGTTTGAAGGTTCTTCCCAGCACATCATATATTGTACTTCAGCAGTGGATAAGAGGCATGAAGGTACCTGTTAAATTGGCATGTTGGAAAGCAGGTCTAGATTTCTCTTTTGAATGCATTTGGCACAAGCCTTCAGTGACTACTCTGTAGCAAAGCAAGGAGCAGTACCTTTGGCCCTCCCAAAGCCAATGGACTTTCACTGCATCTACAGGACCTCTCAAGATACTCTTGGCAGATACAAGAAGCACCCCTCCTCCCACCCAGAAATCTACCTGAAGTGACCCAAAAAATCAGGGCTGACTACAGATATTGCCAAAACTTGTTGGGGGGTTGCCACTTCCATGCACCTGCACCTAATCCTCCTTGCACTGACCCCCCCGAAAAGCATCTCCCTCAGAGAGGTGTGATGCTACCTGGCAGCAGCACTGAACAGGGATGCTCTGGGCTGGTCAGAGCCATAAGCTTCCCCAGGGACAAGCCTTACACTAAGGGAGAAAAACAGCTGCCCCCAAAGGAACCTGATCTCAGACATTCTCCTTGAGGTGGGGCTACACTCACCTCCAGTGAGGTCCTCCTACAGCAGTAATTTTAATCTTGCATGCTACTAATTTTGATGTTGATTTTCTACTACACAGTTCAAACATATTTCCACTTTAATTGGTAAAACTCAGTCCCCAGACCCCAAAGAGAGGTGCAACATTTTCAACCAAGCTCATCATTTCGAGTCTGCAACTGCTTGTTAAACCAAAAAGATGTGGAACTGAGAGCAATATGTTAAAGTTAATAACATGAATATTAATTCCCTGAAGAATTATGGAATATATCTGTTCTACCAACTAAGCAAAGGTAACATTCCTCCATCCCTGTAAGAGAAATACAGGCACCGAAGTAATAGTTTGCATTTCTTACTGACTTGGGTTTAAAACGTGAGCAGAAATACTGCTTTCCTGGCTAAGAAGAGAGCAGCTACTGCAATGGGCATGAACTGGAGGGCCAGAGCTGCAGTGAGCAGCTCCAGGTGGGCTTGCAAGTGGTCAGTGCTCATCAAAGGCTGAGGTACCAGCCAAGCAGGACAGGAGAGGTCTCTCAAATAAGCATAAACAAACATTAATTGAATAAGATGTGAAGAGCAGGGAACATAGCATGCATTCAAGGACTCAAGTATTTTAAGTTAACACCCTGCTGAAAGCTGACCGGCTTTACTCACCACACTGGGCTCAGCACCTTTGGTCTTCAGAAGTTTGGGACTGTATTTCACAGCAACCTTGGTTTGGGCACCTTTTCTCTCAGCTGCAATCCAGGTGACCAGAAGAGGAAGCCAGAAGGCACGCAAAAGGAACAATTTAGATTTTCAGCCCCAGCTCCTACTTTGCCCAAACAGTCCACAGCTAAAAGACACAGACAGGCTGGGAGCAGGAGTCCCACTGACAGAAAAACAGTCAGCAGCAGTCTGAGAGTCTCCAACCAGGTCCTTTGTACAACAAGCCTGGACTCCTTCCTCAACTTCAGATGCCGAATCTCCCTGCTGAGCCACACCATGAACTTTTATACGGAGGGAGGAAACTTTTATAGCAAGGGAGACCTCATGGCGGCCTGCAGCTCCCTCACGAGGGGAGCTGAGGGGCAGGCACTGAGCTCTGCTCTATGGGGACAGTGACAGTACCTGAGGGAACGGCATGGAGCTGGGACAGGGGAGGGTCAGGGTGTGTGTTAAGGAAAGGTTCTTAACTGAGAGGGTGGTTGGGTGCTGGAACAGGCTTCCCAGGGCAGTGGTCACAACCCCAAGCCTGCTGGAGTTCAGGAAATACTTGGCACTCAGATTCAGGGTGGTCCTGTGTGGAGCCAGGAGTTGGACTCAGTGATCCTTGTGTCCCTTCCAGATCAGGATATTCTATGATTCTAGAGTTCCCTGGAAACACCAAGGCTCCAAATGAAGGTATTCGAGCACTTTTATACATAGATGAAGAGCATGTCTTCCTGTACAGCATCCCACAGCCAGAATCAAGCAACTCATTCCAAGCACTAGAAGGTTCAGATTATGGACTAACCCAAATTTGTCTTCTCTCAGCAAAAGCAGTGAACTCAACTGTCTCTGTAGTAGCTGGAATATTTTCTTAGCTGCCCAGGTGATGCTTGGATCTAGCAACCCCTCTCATAAGGGTCTGCCCTTGATCACACCAGCCCTCATCCAGGACTTCTTGTCACAGCCATAGTCCTCACTACCCTGTTTTTCTTCAGTTCATCAGACAAAAGCAGTGCTAGAGGAGAGGACAACAGTTCAAAGCCTGTTGTTAAAGGGACACATTACAAGAAGTTCAGTAAACCTTGCAGAGAAGATAGTTTGCAACTGCTGTGGCCACAGTATATTTGAAAAAGAGAGATTAAAACCACAGCAAAAAAAAATAAAAAAAATTGAGCAGAAGAGCAATTAAGCATATGTTGGGTACAAGCTAGTAAACACATAAACAACAACAATTGCCAGTTAACCACAGGCGAGAACTTTCTACAAGCCACAGGTACTGGGCACAAATTGGCAATAATCAGGTTTAATGGGTTTGGTTTACAGTCTCACTGGTTTGCATGTTTTATTATTTTCTGTGGTATTAGCCAGTAAAATAAAATCTCTCCGAACTTGCAAATCTGTCAGGGTGGAAGAGTCCCAGATGTTACAAGAGTCATATTCTATAGAGACCCCAAGGGACTGGGAATTTTTGTTCCATTACAACGCTGAGGCTTCAGGCAGAGTGTGAAGAGTGCAATAACAATGATGGAATTCAGATCCAAAACAGACGTGGTAACTAATGAAAGTGATTAAGTCCAAGGGAAATAAACTCCAGCTTTTATTTCCATTCAGATACCTGAAAACCCTTTGCACTAGAGAAAAGCAAGAATTACCAAACAGAATGATATTTAAAACACAGTGACATTATTTTTAGTATAGAAGTTGAAGCTCCGCTTTCCTTCAATAAGAAATAGAAGCAAATGAAACTCATTTGGAAAGGAGCACAGCTCTTTTAGCTCAGACTCTGAAAGAGGCTGCAGAGCCCAAGACAAGCTCCAGCCAGGACCTCTGGGGCAGCTGCACGCATTTGCAGCTTTTCTCCAAGCTCACATGGAAACAAGACAGTGCTACACTTTCCATTCCCAAGGAGGAACAAAATCTCATTCCACTTTCCCAGCACGTAGCTGGGCTGCTTTCCAGAGAGGCAAGGTTACAGGTACCTCAATGCACCCCAATGCCTGCAGCACAAGGAGCTTAGCATTCTGTGTAATCAAAGCTTGGAAGACACACCGTAAGAATCAATACAACAGAAAGTTATTATTGTAAGACATTCCTATAGCACAACAAGTTTAGCTTGTACTCCACAATCAAGGATCAGAAACCTCTATCTGACCCAGAGAGACTTTAGTCAATATAGGGCAGAGCACACAATCAAGACAGAATACTGGTGGAGGAGCAGTGGGGAGAGGGACTGAAAAGAAAAGAGGAAGGACCAGGTATTCATCAGAAGCTAGCTTAAGAACCCTCAAATGATTTAACTCTTTTCTCAGTATCCCTTGCAGAGCTTTGCTAATTAAGCACCTATGACTACTTCAACTTTCTGATGAGGAAACTGAGAATGATGCCATGACTTACCCATTTTCATGAACTGAGGCCAGGTTTCAGGTAGGTCCTTGCTCCAGGCTAACTACAGCACTCACAAAATGGAGGGAAAATACCCAAAGCAACCTCACATAGCCCCCTCTCTCACCACAGATCAACTCCTTCCCACCTCCCCTCCAAATGTTTTGCCCTTTGCCTCCTGATTGGTCCCCAGGCCCTCACACAGCAGTGAGTAGGGAATGAATTAATTACATCCTCCTTAAAGACTCCTGATTAACATTTCCATCACATGCTAACAAGACACTTCCTGGCTTCAATCTGCTTTTCTTCATTACAGCTTTCTGAAGACAAACTTTATACGTTTATGAGAAGCATTAAATGCACAATCATCTAACTGCGATTTATAGTCGTCCTCTCTCTGTGAAGTTTTCCTAAAGACTCAGTGTATTATGGCATGAAATCTGGAATGGGCTCCTTAGATTTAGATCTCCATCCACAGCTTTGTCTGAAGCCCCTTTGGAGGATTTCATCACAATAAAAATACAGCAGCCAAACCCAGAGACATCGATTTATTCAGCCTGCAGAAAATGGAGGGGAACGTCCACCTCAAAAAATAGCATCAAATAGCAAAAATATTGCACAGTGATGCCTCCAGGATTTCGAGCAGAAGCACGGGGCAATCTAACCCTAACTCCAACAGAGAGAGATTACTGGGGAAAAAAGCTCAGATTGGCAATTGGGGCTTTGTGGAAAAAAAAAAAAAGAGAGAAAAAAGAGAGAGAGAGAGAAAGAAGTAAACAAAGCATACTGAGTAATAGATGGAAAGATGCAAACAGAGGCAGGCACCTGGGATATTTCTTACATTTAATGTGAGAGAAAGGTTCCAAAGCTTGAATAAAATGACTTGACTCCTATCAAGGGTTTTGCAGTTATACTGACTGTAATGCTTATTAGCCTTTGTATTTAGCACATACATTCAGCATCTAGAGTCTCACTCCAATACATATTACAATAAATACACAAGAAGCTTACTGTAATAAATACAGCACCACTGCAAATGAAATAGTAATTAGGAACATAATTCAGACAGATTTTAGTTAATACCTATTTACTAGGAGGTGCTAATCTCTCAAATAAATGTCACAAGTATACAAAACATGCCTCCATGCTTCCAGCTTCCCTCTGTCAAAAACTGTTCACCGCCTAATTGGAATTTAAAAAATTGCCCCATTCTTTGGAGTACGTTGGCAACAGCTGTACCAGCTTTTGGAAGCTAAAATGCTGCTGAGGTGAACAGTTTAGCAGCTCGCTTCTGAAAGCCAGTGTGGCCAGATCAATCTGTTCCCCAGTTCCCAGCACAAACCCTCGCCCAGGTAGCACATTAGTTCCCTGCAAGGTTGGACTTTGGGGACAGCGTGACACCAGCCTGGCACATTGCTGCTTGTTGAGTGGCTGGGCTATGGGGGGAACAGGGGCTCCTTCCCTCACTTAAATGCACAGCCAGTCTGCGGCAGAGAGGGAAACAGCTTTTCCAAGTTCCAGCACAGCATGTTCACCCCCAAATTATTTAAGCCCTCAGTGATGCACTGCTGAGCCAACAAAATTGAGTTTCAGCCTTTGCCCAGGGCTTGACCCTTGTTCTTCAGAGAAAATACTGACAAGTGTAACGCACGGTAGCTTTTATTTCTCCATTTCTCCATTTCTCCAACGTGCAACTGCACGTTGCAGCAGTGCCTCTGAAGCCTTGCCCAGCTGGGGATGAGAGCACAGGGTACTGATGTGACTGACGAAGGCTGTGCTCAGCAGCTGCATGTTCCCACCTTTCTGGGTGACTCTGACTGGGGATAATCCAAATCAGTCCTATTTCCCAATCTCAGTACCTGGAAATGCCCCAAGGCACTCTCAAGCTGGAGGGAGAGCAGGCTGTGCTGCAAGGAAAGCCTTCAGGCTCCCGGACATGTCTGCACCAGCAATTGCCACGGCAGCTTGAGCTGGACTCAGAAGCTCCTGTCACCCCTCAGTGAAGTAAAAGCACAAATTGACGCCAACTGTGACAGCCCAGAGATTGATCTGGCACAAAGGAGACAGCGAAGGAGAAGAGTGGAGAGTGTTCTCCTACAAGGACCATAACTCTGCAGACCCTGGCTGTGCATACATTGTTGTCTTTTCTCACTCCATCACGGAGGTCATGTGCAGGAAGGAATTTTATCCTGTGGAGCTGCCAGCCTTTTAATCCAAGCAGTTCATTTTCTCCTTGGAATTCATCTTCTGGACCAGGACGCACTAACTGCGAGCCTGCATTTGTGATAAAGACCATGAGGCATAAATATTTTACACTGGTAATGAGATATTTAGCATTGATATACAGCTCAAAGCCCAGTGCAATTCCAGCTTTGTTAATTATAATGAACTATTGGAGGACTCGACTTCATCTGCTCCTTGTAAATCTTGCAATGCTGGTGTGATGTGCTGGTGGCTTCCTTCCAGGGTGAGGCTGGAGCTCAGCGTGGTGAATGTTTAATCAAACGTCCAGGCCCACTGTAAGAGCAGCGTAATAGTGTGAACGGTGCATGAGTCGTGTTGTGCTACTGTCTGGAGGCGAAGATATGGGCCTGAGTAAGGGGCATGAGTTCAACTATATTGTAAATCCACTGTTTTCCTCTTCATAAGTCATAAGCAGGGACTGAAGCTGTTAATCATGAGAACAGTTTTCTAACCCCTGAGCCGCCATGACTGGTAGGCCAGTAAGGCAGCTTTGCTCATTCAGCTTGACCTCTGGAAGAGGACACGCACCTTAGCCATCATTTTATGAAGTGTTTTGGGCATCTCCTGCCAGCTGCCTGCTCTTATTGTGGCAGTAATGTTAGAGAGTTGCCACCCCTCCCAAAGCCAGTGATGGTCCCCATCCCCTAGCCCTGCATCTGACACATCCCATCCCAACTTTGGTGAGCTTAAAGCACACTTTCAGGCATAAATTTATTGTGCAGACACAACATATGTTGGGATAAAAAAATCAACATGACGAGCAAAGATCACCCCAGGTCCATTGGTTCAGGTTGAAACCATTGGGTTTCACTCTGAGCCAGGAGCATTCCCCTCCAACATTTCCTTTGTGTTGCCTGCTGAGGAGGAAAGATCTGATATGACACAGCTCCTCTGACACTGGATGGCTTCCCTGGAGGGGGGGAAGCTGTTGTATCCCCCTCTTCCTCCTTCCCTCACTGCCTGGGAGATGCTACCAGTTCCTTTGCTCCTCCCTGTGTCTTTTGGGGCACTGGCTGTCTTGGTCTAGTCCAACACAGCTGCTGTGGGATATTGCAGGGTGCTGGTCTATTCCTCAAGCCAAAAATACTTTGTGGCTTTTTATCTTTAGAAATGCTGAGCCTTTAGAGAATCATCCAGGATCAGGCCCTCTGCCCTGAAATGGGTGTAGGACATGGGAGGAGCAGAGGAAAACATACTTTTGAGTTGATTTCGCCCTGAAAAGCCACATATCTCTGTCCAAAAGAGCTAGCCAGCATGGATCAGGCTCTGAATAAATCCTGTCTGTGCTGAAGCACCTGGAAATGGAAGATATCAATGGCAGGAACAGCATCAAGTTAAAAATGTGATGGAGTGTGAAGCTGGCATTGCGAGCTACCATGCAGGAATGGCACGGTTCTGCCTTTATTTAGAATTAGTGGATACTTGAAAAAGTAGCTTAACATTTTGTCAGATGCTAAGCATAAATCTGGATAATAATTCACGCTACACTAGACTCTTTATAACAGTAGTTTGCTAAAACAAATTGAATTCAAACCTATATTCATTTACTAACTTAATGCATGGCATATCTGTGAATAATTTTTCATACTCTAAAAAATTCTAGACACTGGCTTGGCTGGAAGAGGGCCAGCAAATCTGAAATTAATGTACATTAAAGCATAACTGGTATTCTAAGTGCATTTGTTATATGCAACAATAACTACTTTAAGCTTTTTTTTTTTTTTTTTTTTTTTTTTTTTTTTTTTTTTTGAGAAAGAGATTATTGTGGAATAGCTGAAAGAAGTTTAGATCTGAAAATCCTGGGGTAGAATGAGAAATCAGAGCTTCTTCTATTTCAGACTGCCGTAGCGCAAATCTGGGAGGAGGGAAAGACCTAAACAATTTGGCACTTAGAAAACTCAGTAGTATTAATAGAACAACTTAAAGAAAAAAGTTTTTTTTTTCTTTTTCTTTTTTAAGTGATAACTGGGGGTGGAAAGAATGAAACTTCTTTGCTTTTGAAGATGTGTTGAAACCTCCACTCTATCCCCATCTCTCCCTCACATGGAAGCATCAAACTTCAAAAAGAAAAAAAAAAAAAAGGAACTAAAAGGAACTAAAAGAAACTTTTACTTCTAGCATTCCAAAAATTGAAGCAAAGCCAATGCTTTGGAGGGGAAATAGGAAGAAAAGTGCTAAATTCTGTAAAACTCAGAGCCCACTTCTACACCACTTCTGTATAGAAACAAGCATGGCAGCCCTGCAGAAACAAACACAGAGAAGTTTTCTCTGCCATCCATTTGCTTAGGAAGTGAAAGCCTGCCCCTCAATGTGACCTACTATGAGGACAGGACCATTTGGACAAGAACAGTGTAATTTGTCAGGGCCACCCGGAACATGAAGGATGGAAGACACCCAGCAGTATCTCGTGTTTTATGTTACTACCTCCTACGAAGATCCATATTTCAGAGAAGAGGAACATTCATTGCACACCATCCAAAGGCTGCCTTACATTTCACCTCTGTGGCATCCCCTCCAATGCACATGAATATTAATTTCTTCTTCCTCCCCCATCCCAACAATTATTTACTTTGCAAAGGATTTACTGTGTGACACTTCAGCTGAAGGCAATGTGCATAAGCCCCACTCCTGTATATGAATTAATTTTTAGAATTCTTAATTTATTACCAATTAATTTCTTCTAAATTATAGGAGAGACGACCTGCTGTAGATAACCGTTCCTTTCTAATGCCTTCCTAGAAAATCTCTCATTAATGAGACCATTAATTTAATGGTGGCTGGGGCAAATCATCCAGAGAGAACCCTTCAGTTGCAATCTGTATGTCCCACCTTATATTCTTGAGAACGTGGTAAGAAGAAGGCTGGGTTTGTCTGCAATAAATGCTGGTATAAAATATACTCGTATATGTATGTATGCAAATAGCCTGATCTAGCATCATTAAACCTCTTAAGGAA